ATCAGCATGAGGTGGAGGCCCTCAGGATGTCAGCTGCTCAGACAGAGCCACGTGCCCTAGTAAAGGATGCGCAGTGGGTGAGGCCTTAGAGGGGTCAGAGAAGCAAGAAGAATGGGGGGAGCAGCTGGAGAACTGGTGGCAGGAGCCGCAGAGGAGGCACCGGGGCCCACCTGGCCCCCTCCCGTCAACATGGCAGCCACTAGAACCCTGCCCCTGGACCGACCCAGCACAGGCCAGGTGCTCATCGAATTCCTGTTGACCTGAAGCAGGAATACATGCTAATGGAGCGCAGAGGAGGCAGCCAGTCTCTGTCCTCAGAAATCTGGGAGGGCTTCACAGAGGAAGTGCCATGGGCTGGGGGGTCTCTAAGGGTGAACAGGACAGTGAAGGAGTTTCTTCAGGAAATCAGGGGCCGGGGCATTCCAGAAGGAAAGAGGGGTACAAACAAAGCCTCAGAGGGCTGACCTAGGGGAGGTGGAACGAGGAGTTGGGGGAGCAGGAGAGGCAGGCTGTGGGTGGGGAGGGCATGGGCAGGCCCTGGGTCAGGCCACCTCCTCTTTAAAGCAGTCAGGACCCAGCAGGAGCAGGGGGAATCCGGGACTACCGGCATGTGGAGGTGGGGGCCAGTCAGAGCGCTGCCATACCTGCCTTCCTCTGGGGGGCGGTTGCCCCATCCCAGGTCGTCCCAGGTGCCTAACTCAAAAAACCAAACCCACTGCCGGAGTGGATTCCGACTCATAGCCACCCTATAGACAGAGGATAACTGCCCCATGGCTGACTGCCACATCTTTCTCCCTTGGAGCAGCTGGTGGGTTTGATCCGCGACGGTTCGTTCAGCAGTGGAGCGCTTAACCACGGCACCACCAGGGCTCCTTCTCAGGCGCCTACAAAACCAAAAACCCATTGCCGTCCAGTCAATTTCGACTCATAGCGACCCTGAAGGACAGAGTAGAACTGCCCCATAAGGTTTGCAAGAAGCGGCTGGTGGATTTGAACTACCCACTTTTTTTTAGGTTAGCAGTCGTAGCTCTTAACCACTGCGCCACCAGGGTTTCCGCCGGGTGCCTAAGGAAGTGGAATTCAGACCCCTGCCCACGAAGCCCCCTCTGCCTTTTCGTCTGCGGAGAGGCGTTACTCTTGGAACATGCGGGGGCGGGCAGCACGCGGCCCGAGGCCCCCTCCGCCAGCCCTCCCTCCCTTCCCCGCGTCCGCCCCGCCCGCCGCGCGGCTCCTGCCTGGGCCTGCAGCGCCATCTGCCGGCGGCGCGGGGAGGCGCGGGCGCGGCCCCGAGGCCTCCGGGGCTGCTCTGCGGGACAGAAGGGGCGAATCCTCCCCACTGGACACCGGTTTTAGGGGCAGCTGGCCATGGTCCTGGCTTGGAGCCCTGGCTCCACCACCCACTGCTGTGTGCCCCAGGGCGTCCCTGGGCCCGTCTGAGCGCTGTCCCAGGCCCAGGGTGGTGAGGCTTCCCGCTCCCGGACTGTGGGCGGAGGAAGGGCCGGCCAGGTGGTCTGGGAGCCTGAGCCCGATTCCTGAGGGGTTTGTGGGGAGACAGGCGCATGGTGTGATGGAACAGGGGTCTCTCCATTTTCAGCTGTGGTGAGGAGTAGGGGAGCACGGAATAGGGTCCCACCCCAGGCGTCAGTGGAGGTCCCTCCCCCTCCCCCCAGGTCAGCCCACAGAGGGTGCTTATCCACCCCCACCCACCCGTGCGGTGATGCACGAGTCCCTCCCCTACATCCAGCCCCGTGGACCACTGCGGGGACCCAGTTCATCTCACTTTCCCCAGCCATGACTTGCTAGAAAGTTCTCCTTCCTTTAGAATGTGGAGCGTTGGGGAAAGGAGGTTGCTAGAGGAAACCCTGCCTTACCGTAATCCAGGTAAGAGTTAGACAGTCCAGAAACCAGAGAGCCCACAGGGGCCTTGGGGAGGTCTGGGCCAGGACCTCCAAGGCCCCAGGACTGGTCCCTCTCTGGGCTCACCTTCCCTGGTACCCACCTCCTTCTCCCTGCCTCCTTTATTCCTAGAGTGCTAAGGAGGGGGTGAGACAACCCCACGGGATGCCAGCTCCCACCCCCAAGGCCTCACTCCTGACCCCAATTCCAAATTCCCAGGGGAGGGACCTGATTCGGGTTCTGGTGGCCACCTTCTCCAACCAGCCAGTGGTGTGCTGGTAGATGGTTAACAATAGGCTCTCCAAAAAATGTAAAAGCTTTGATGGAGCCCTGGTGGCGCAGTGGTTAAAAGCTTGGCTGCTAACCAGAAGGTCAGCAGTTCAAATCCACCAGCCACTCCTTGGAAACCCTGTGGGGCAGTTCATTTCTGTCCTGTAAGGTCACTATGAGTCAGAGTCAACTCAGCAGCAAGGGGTTTGGTGTGGGTTTGGTTTAATTAGTAGGCTGTGCCAATTTCCATGGTGTAAATACTCCCACCGTGGCCAGTTTCAATAAGACATCCCTGAACATGCAGTTGGGAAGAGATACACACTGGGTCACCATTATATAGAGTTTCCACCATACGGACACTGTGGACATCGTCTCAACAGCACAGCTAACAATAAACGATAGTCAAATATTAGGAAGCGATATGTTGTGGGTATTGAGTACCTTTGTTTTTAATATAATCTATTTAACTGTAAGTCTATATGCTTTTCATGCAGGAGACCAGCGTTCAATTCCCAGCCAATGCATCTCATGCACAGCTACCACCTGTCTGTCAATGGAGGCCTGTGTGTTGCTGTGATGCTGAACAGGTTTCAGCAGAGCTTCCAGACTAACATGGACTAGGAAGAAAGGCCTGGCGATTGACTTCCAAAAATCAGCCAGTGAAAATCCTATGGATCACAATGGTCTGATCCAAAACTGGTCAGGAGGTGGCCCGGGACAGGGCAACATGTTCTTCTGTTGTGCGTGGGGCTGCCGTGAGTCATGGCTCAACAGCAGCAACAACATTTAACAGCCAGCTCTCAAAATTACTGAAAATTTAAGACTAAATCCCACGAACCTTTTCGGGCTGGCTTCAGCACACCACTGGCCAAGGTCACCCACAAAATGGCTGCCAGGTGTGGGGGCAGTTCTCAGAGAAAGGGAGACATTGGTAGCTAACCAGGCCCCCCAAATGCCTACTCTGGCTTTCGGGGTCCAGCTTCCCTGTGACCCTCCTGTCTGGATGGATTTATAGACCCAATTTTTAACGGTCCCTTTTGTGGAGCTGGGAGGATGGAAGGACAGAAGGCTGGGGTCTCCAGGAAAACCAGGTTCTGCACGGACCCGCCCCCCCCCCCCCCTTACAGAGTAACGCCAGCACACACTTCACCTCTCGGCCTTTCCTGCAGGGTGGTGATGAGGTATAGAATGCGAGGTGGCAGGCTCAGAGCAGTACCTGGGGCCAAGTGAGGCTCGGTGGACATGCCGTCCTAGTCGTTCTCGTCTGACCCCTCCAAGCCTCCATTTTTTCCTGCAGCATGCTGGGAGCCTTGCCCGCCTTCCAGGCAGGCTCCAGGTGTGTTCCTGCCCACTTCCTGGGACAAGCTTGAGGTGTGTTCCTGCCTACCTCCCGGGGGGGGCACAGTGTGTGTCCATGCCCACCTCCCGGGAGCATTTAGACCTGGTGGGGTGCCCACAAACCTGGCAGCTGTGCAGGCTGACACTGGTCCTGCATCAAGTCTCCACACAGGCTTGGAAGGTGGCATTGTCAACCTGTTGACAAACGGGCACAGCCTGCCGATGACAGAACTGAGATCTGGACCCCCAAGGGCCAGCTCCAAAGCCCCATGGCCTCTGGGGGTGGGCAGTGACCTTCTATCATCTCTGAAGTGTCCCCACCTTGACCCTGGCCCCAGAATGCAGACGCTGTCCACACAGCAAGGCTGGGAGGGCTCCTCAAGGCCCAGGTGGCTGGGGCAGAGGGGGACACTCCTGGGGGGAGCTAGCTGACCTGACAGCAGGTCCAGGAACTGCCTATCATACGGTTCCTGCAGCATCCTCCTATCCTCTCCACATGCAAGCCCGGAACCCCTAAGACCTCCAGCAGTAGGGTATGGGAACAAGGGTCCTTGCTGGGAATGCCGGGTCTGCCTTCTCCAGCCAGCTCTGCCCTACAGCTGGGCAACCTCGGGCAAGCCACTCACCCTCTCTGGACCATGGCAGAGTATGATGGGAAGACCCAGGATTCACAATCATCCAAAATCCTAACCATGCCTCTCTTTCCCTCACAAGAAACATGTATCAGTTACCTATTGCTGGGTACAAAATGGCTTCAACACTTAGCATCCTAAAACAGCACACATTTATTATCTCATAGGTTCTTGGGTCAGGAGTCCAGGCACGGCTTAGCTGGGTCCTCTGTCTCAGGGTTTCTCAAAAGGCTGCAGCCAAGGTGTCAGGTAGGGCTAGGGTCTCATCCGAAGGCTCGCCTAGGGAAGGATCCATTTCCAGGCTCACTCACGTGGCTGTTGCAGGACTCAGTTCCTCACTGCTGTTGGCCAGAAGCTGCCCTCAGTTCCTTGTCACATGGGCCCCGCTAACATGGCAGTTTATTTCATCAATAGATGAAAGCAAGAAGGCAATAGAGAATTTCATCAGAAGTCAGTCTTCTGAAACCTCGTGAGAGAAGAGACATGCCATCACTTTTGCCTGCCATATTTTATTCACTAGAAGCAAGTCACTAGGTCCAGCCTACACTCGAGGGGACCGGGTCCAGCAAACAAGCCACCCATGGTGGACCCACAGGTCTTACAGGGGACAGCTGAGGCTCAGAGAAGGGTGGGAGGCTTCGATGTGCCACTTCCAGAATTCGGTGCCAGTTCCACGACATTGCCCTGGAGAAGGTGCCGTGGGTGCTAAGCCATTGTGACCTCAGGGTGAGGTCAGGGCTGCGGGGTGGGGGAGGAGTGCCCAGAGACAGGGCTGCGCTGTCCAGAGCCAGGACAGAGCCGGCGCTGGGGCCTGTACCCCCCCAGCTGCATCCCAGCCATGGACAGGCAGCACATTCACCGGCCATGCAGCCGCACCTCGGCAGAGAGGGCGTCGTCAGCCGGGTCCCAGAACCCCAGGTCAGCCCACCTTCCTGTGTCCACAGCGGGTCAGCGCCCTCCGACCTCCCCAGAGTGGGGTTCCTGGCTGCCCCGCCTTCTCGCCAAGGGCTGTTCCAGAAGGAACATCTCCACACCTGCCGTTTGGTTTCGGTTATTTCGGTTTCCAGGCTGTTGTCCCCCGTCTGTATAGCCAGACCTGTCCTCCTCTGCCACATCTTGTACCACTTCTCCACTGAGGACACGGCCCTCCACAGATGTTTGCCTGACACTGTGTTCTGGTTGTTTTCTATTTTTATAAATACAGTGAAACCTGTGAGAGCTGGAACTCAGTGGGGCTGCTTGTTTCTCCAGGTCTCGCAAGTTTTCCACCTTTGACAGGGCGCAGCCTCACCCCTGTTCTGTCGCTTGTTTTGGTGGAAAATATTTGGGGTCTCCTTCTCTGATAGGTTTCCGCCTTATGCGGGTTTTACCATACATTTAACCCCAGATGCTATGGGGCTGTGATGCGGGTTTGGGGTGCCGTACATACCTCGCTGTGCCGGTAGCCAGTGCTGCGGTGGCCTGAGCCCCCTCTGACACCCTCCCAGGCCCCCTCTGAAGCCCTGGTTCTGCGACTGGACGGAGGGGGAGGCCAGGATCTGGCACAGCATGAGGTGCCTGCCCAGTTGGCACTGGCCGGGCTCAGTCTGGAAGCCACTTTCTGAGATCAGCTGGGAGGGGCTGGCATTCTAGAGAAAAGTCCGAGATGTGACAGGAAGAAGGGGCCTTCCGGGAGGGACCAAAATTGTGCCCCGAGCCACACAGCCGGCACACCGAGAGAGGGCCCCTTGGCTGCCTTCGTGGGAGCAGGCCCAAGGGCTCCCCCAAGCCGCCTCGGCCTGGAACACCAGAAGGTGTCAGAACCCAGGGGTGCAGGCTCCAGAGTCAGGGCCCTGGGTTTGACCCCATTAGCGTGTGACCTGGGACAAGTCCCTGAGCCTCTCTGCATGCATCTCAGCTGTGAGGACTATGAGGACAGGACCAAGCACTCGTCTCTGGCCATCTCTCTCTGGGCGGTGGAGGGCACAGAGGTGGGGGCGATAAGGGGGCGCCTCCATCCCGGTCCCACCGGAAGTTGTATCCAGTTGGGGCAAGCCGCGCTATTCCCACAATGCCTTCATTCACTCATTGGTTCAGTTATCCTACAAACACACGCTGGCACCTGTCTTAGGACCGCCATAACAAATCAGCACAAAGTGGGTGGCTGTAAGAACAGAAGTGTTCTGGAGGCTGCGAGTCTGAATCAGGATGTCAGCCGTGTTGATTCCTTCTGAGAGCTCTGGGAGAGAATCCATTCCATGCCTCTGTCCCAGCTTCTGGTGGCCTCAGCTATCCACGGCGTTCCATGGGGTGCATCTGCCTCCGTCATCATGCAACCATCCTCTTCCTGTGTAACCCTTCACATCTGCTCTCCTTGTGAATGAGTCACCGCTCAGATGGGATTAGGACCCACCCTACTCCATCTTCTTGTTAGTTGCCATCAGTCGATTTCGACTCATGGCAACCCTGTGTCTTAAAAGATCTTATTTTCAAACAAGGGCATATTCACTGGTACCAAGTGTTAGGACTTCATCCTATCTTCTGGGGGGACACAACTCAATGATTCATTTTAAACAAGTTCATCAGGAAGGTGACAATTGAGCAAAGACTTGGAGGAGGTGAGGGACGGAGGCAAGCAGCTGTGTGGAGAAAGTGTTCCCAGACTGAAGAACAGCCAGTGCAAAGGCCCTGAGGCAGGTCCATGCCCACTGGTTTGAGGAACAGTCGTAGCTCACTGTGCTTGGAATGGAGTAAGCAAGGGGAAGCAGAAGGAAACGAGGCCAGAAAGATCCGGGAAGGAGGTGAAACCAATTTTGTTCTTAGTCATCTTTTTATTTCTTTGATTAAGATATAATTTACATACAATAAAATTCACATCTCTACACGTTTGGCAAACACATACAGCTGTGAATACACCACCATAATCAAGATACAAAACAGCTTCTTCTCCCCAAAATTCTGTAGTCAACCCTCTGCCCCAACTCCCAGCCTCTGGCAACCATTGGTCTGTTTTCTGTTCATACCGTTTTGCCTTTTCCAGAATGTCATAAAAATGAAATTCTGTAGTATGTAAGCTCCAGGTTTGCTTTCTTTCATGCAGCATAATGCATTTAAGAATAGTACATTTTGTTGCACTGAATCAGTAATTCATTTATTTATATTGCTGAGGGCTCCCTGGGTGGCGTAAACAGTTAAAGCACTCAGCTATTAACCGAGAGATGGGCAGTTCAAATCCAACCAGAGGCACCTCAGAAGAAAGGCCTGATGATCTACTTCCAAAAAATCAGACATTGAAAACCCTACAGAGCACAGTTGTAATCTGACACGCGTGAGGCAGCCATGAGTCAGAGTCGACACCCCGGCAATTGATTTGGTATTTCTGTAGATGTACAACAGTTTGTTCATACATCCAGCGGCTGAAGGATATTTGGGTTGTTTCCATTTGGGGCTGTTAGAAATATAGCCATTATAAACATTCATGTACAGATTTTTGTGTGAACAGTAAGTTGTCATTTCTCTCAAGCAAATGCCTGGGAGTGAGATAAAACCAAAAACGCATTCATCTAGTCGATTCTGACTCATTGTAGGTAAATGTGTGATTAACTTTATAAGGAAGTGCCAAACTACTTTCTGACTTGGCTGTACCATTCTGCATCCAGCAATGAATGAGAGTCCCTGTTGCTCCACATCCTCCTCAGCATTTGAAGCCAGTGCTTTGGATTTTAGCCATTCTAATAGGTAGCATATGATCAAGAACCGATGGTACTGAAGGAAGAAATCCAAGCTGCACCAAAGACATTGGTGAAAAACAAGGCTTCAGGAACTGACGGAATACTAGTTGAGATGTTTCAACAAATGGATGCAATTTTGGAAGTGCTCACTCATCTATGCCAAGAAATTTGGAAGACAGCTATCTGGCCAACTGACTGGAAGAGGTCCATATTTATGCCTATTACAAAGAAAGGTGATCCAACAGAATGTCACTAATCACTCACAAGTAATATCATTACTATCATTAATATCATTAATATCATTAATATCACTAATATCATTAATATCATTAATATCACTCACAAGTAAAATTTTGCTGAAGATCATTCAAAAACAGTTGCAGCAGTACATCGACAGGGAACTGGCAGAAATTCAAGGTGGATTCAGAAGAAGACTTGGGACAAGGGATATCATTGCTGATGTCAGATGGATCCTGGCTGAAAACAAAGAATATCAGAAAAATGTTTACCTGTGTTTTATTGACTGTGCAAAGGCATTCAACTGTGTGGATCATAAGGAGTTATGGATAACATTACGAAGAATGGGAATTCCAGAACACTTAATTGTTCTCATGAGGAACTTACAAGATGGATTGACACTGTGGCTGCAACAGTGGGTTCAAGCATGACAACAATTGTGAGGCTAGTGCAGGATGGGGCAGTGTTTCGTTCTGTTGTACATAGGGTCGCTATGAGTCGGAACCAACTCGATGGCACCTAACAGCAACAACAGCAAACATCTTTCTAGTATTCTCTGCTTTCAGCCAAGATCCATCTGATATCAACAATGATATCCCTTGTTCCACGTCCTCTTCTGAATCTGGCTTGAATTTCTGACAGTTTCCTGTCAATGTACTGCTGCAACCGTTTTTGAATTATCTTCAGCAAGATTTTACTTGTGTGTGATATTAATTAAAGAGATATTTTGATAATTTCTGCATTCTGTTGGATGGCTTTTCTTTGAAATGGGCACAAATGTGGATCTCTTCCAGTTGGTTGGCCAGGTAGCTATCTTCCAAATTTCTTGGCATAGATGAGTGAGCACTTCCAGCATTGCATCGGTTTGTTGAAGCACCTCAGTTGGTATTCCATCAATTCCCAGAGCCTTGTTTTTCCCCAGTGCCTTCAGTGCAGCTTGGGCTTCTTCCTTCAGTACTGTCAGTTCTTGATCATATGCTACCTCCTGAAATGCTTGAATTCTTTTTGGTACAGTGACTCTGTGTATTCCTTCTGTCTTCTTTTGATGCTTCCTGTGTCATTCAATACTTTTCCATAGAATCCTTCAATATTACAACTCGAGGCTTGAGTTTTGTTTTTTTGTTTTTTTTTTTTTCAGTTCTTTTAGCTTGAGAAATGCCAAGCATGTTCTTCCCTTTTGGTTTTCTATCTCCAGGTCTTTGCATATTTTATTATAATACTTTACTTTGTCTTCTCTAGCCATCCTTTGAAATCTCCTGTTCAGCTCTTTTACTTCATCATTTCTTCCATTCACTTTAGCTACTCTGTGTTCAAGAGCAAGTTTCAGAGTCTCTTCTGACATCCATTTTGGTCTCTTCTTTCTTTCCTGTCTTTCTAATGACCTTTTGCTTTCTTCATGTGTGATGTCCTTGATGTCATTCCCCAACTCGCCCCATCTTCAGGCATTAGTGTTCAGTGTGTCAAATCTATTCTTGAGAAGGTCTCTAAATTCAGGTGAGATAAACTCAAGGTCATACTTTGACCATCGTGGACTTGTTTTAATTTTCTTCAGCTTCAACTTGAACTTGCATATGAGCAATTGATGGTCTGTTCCACAGTCGGCCCCTGGTCTTGTTCTGACTGATGATATTGAGCTTCTCCATCGTCTCTTTCCACAGATGTAGTTGATTTGATTCTTGTGTTTTCCATACAGTGAGGTCCACATATATAGTCACCATTTATGTTGCTGAAAAAAGGTATTTGCAATGAAGTCGTTTGTCTTGCAGACTTCTGTCATGTGGTCTCTGGCATCGTTTCTATCATCAAGGCCATATTTTCCAACTACTGATCCTTCTTTGTTTCCAACTTTCACATCCAAACACCAGTAATTATCAATGCATCTTGATTGCATGTTTGATCATTTTCAGATTGCAGAAGTTGGTAAAAATCTTCAGTTTCTTCATCTTTAGCCTTAGTGTTAATGCCTGTAGGATCTGTAATGATGTACCCACTCTCATTTCTGATGTTGATAATTTGAGTCTTGTCTCTTTTTTTCTCTAGTAACTCCTGCTAGAGGTTTTTCAAATTTATTGATCTTTTCAGTGAATCAACTTTTGGCTTTATTGATTTTTTCCCTATTGCTTTTCTGTTTTCTATTTTATTGATTTCTGCTCTACTGTTTGTTGTCATTAGGTGCATAAACATTTAGGATTGTTATGTCATTTTGATTAATTGATCCCTTTATCATTATGAATGGATTCTCTTTATCACTGACTATATAATTTGCTCAAAAATCTATTTTATCTGATATTAATATTGCTACTCTAATTTTCTTTAGGTTGGTATTAGCATGTGTCATGGATTAAATTATGCCCCCCCCAAAAATGTGTGTATCCGTTTGGCTGGGCCATGATTCCTGGTATTGTGTGATTTTCCTATATATTGTAAATTCTGCCTCTATGATGTTAATGAGGGAGGATGGGTGGCAATTATGTTAGTAAAGCAGGACTCAATCTACAAAACTGGATTGTGTCCTGAGGCAATCTCTTGAAATATAAAAGAGAGAAGTGAGCAGAGAGACAGCAGGACCTCATATCACCAAGAAAGCAGCACCAGGAGCAGAGTGTGTCCTTTGGACCGGGGGTCCCTGTGCGGAGAAGCTCCTACAGACAGAGGGAGAAAACATTTCCCTGGAGCTGATGCCCTGAACTCAGACTTTTAGCCTACTTTACTGTGAGGAAATAAACTTCTCTTTGTTAAAGCCATCTACCTGTGGCCTTTCTGTTAAAGCAGCACTAGATGACTAAGACAGCATGATATATCTTTTTTCATCCTTTTATTTTTAATCTGTGTCTTTATTATATTTAAAGTGTATTTTTTATAGGTAACATGTACTAGGATCTTGCTTTTTGATTAATTTTGACAGTCTCTGCCTTTTGGTTGTAGTGCGTCTTAGTTATCTAGTGTTGCTATAACAGAAACACCTCAAGTGGATGGCTTTCACAGAAATTTATTCTCTCACAGTCTAAGAGGCTAAAAGTCTGAATTCAGGTTGCCAGCTCCAGGGGAAGGCTTTCTGTCTCTGTTGGCTCTGGGGAGGGTCTTTGTCATCCATCTTCCCCTGGTCTAGGATCTTCTTAGCTCAGGGACCCCAGATCCAAAGGATGCGCTCCCTCTCTTGTTCATTCTTAGTGGCATGAGGTTCCTCAAATTTGCGCGACCCCATTCTCCTAGTCCATCTGAGTGGCAACCCTACCTACCCCCTTGGTCCTAGCAGGCCCAGTCTTCTGCCCCTTGGGCATGGCAGCCCAGCCCCGTCAGCTTTGGGCAGCAGATCCGGCACACTGATGCTTTCTTTTTCCCAAGTCATTTTTCTACTTGTTTCATTTTTTGGATCGTTTCTATTGCTATGTCTTCAGGTTCACCGAGTTTTGCTTCTACACTGTTTAATCTGCTGTTAAACTCAACCAGTGTATTTTTAATCTCAAACATTGTATTTTTAATTTTTTTATATTTCTCATGTCTCTCCTTAACGTCCTTATGTTTTAATCTACAATCTTGAACACATGAAGTATAGTTATAATGTCTATTTTAATGTTCTTTTCTACTAATTCTATCATTTGTGTCTTTTCTATGCTGATTTTGATCAGTTGGTTTTTCTCCTCACTATGGGTCACAGTTTTCTTGGATTCTATGCATGCCTGGTAGTTTTTGATTGGATGCCAGACATTGTGATTTTTACCTCGTTGGGTACTGGATATTCCTGTACTTTTAAAATATTCCTAAGCTTTGTTCTAGGACACACATAAGTTAGTTGAAAACCGTTTGGTCCTTCTAAATCGTGATGTTAAGATTTTTTAGAGAGGACCAGATTAGCCTTGTCTAGGTCTGATTTTACCACACTACTAATGCAACCCCATTCTGAATACTTGGCGCTCTATGAATTACTTGGTTTTTCACTCGGACTGATGGGAAAAGGAACTATTCTCAACCTTGTATGAGCTCCAAGGATAGTTCCCTCTGCTCCCTTCGAGTGGTTCTTTTCTCTGTCTTTGGTAATTTCATCACACATGGAAACTGATCAGTACTTAACTGAAGACTTGGGGAAGGGGGAACCCTCCGCAAATCTTCAGAAAGTTAGCACATGCCCTGTCTTCAATCTCAGTCTCTCTCTCTCCCTCTCCCTCCCTCACCCCCCACCCCGCCCCTGCCGTCCAACACTCTTTTGTTACTCTTCCCTGAAAACTTCAGCCACTTAGGCCTCCCCAAGTTCCACCTCTATCTCTGTAACTCAGGGAGACTGCCTGGCTTTTCTTGGGCTCCCTCTATCTTCATTGTGGTCTGGAAACTTTCCAGGCAGTAAACTGAGGCAATCTCAATTTATCTCATTTTTTCCCATCTCTCAGGGATCACTGTACTGTGCTGCTTGTTGCCAGTGTCTGATAACCATTGTTTTGTATTGATTTTTTAATTTTTTAGTTAAGGCAGGAGGGTGGATCCAGTGCCTATCACTCCATCTTGGCTGAGACCAGAAGTGCCTTATATGACATATTTAGGACTTTGGTTTTTACTCTGGGTGAAATGGGGAACCATGGGAGGATTTGGGGTGCCATGATCTGACATAATTTTCTTACATGGTGGAACCAATGAATGAATAAAATAATATATGAAGAGATAAACTGTCTTCTAACATACCACCTAATTTACTTATTTATTTTGTTTACTGTGTATTGTTTATCTTGTTCATAATCTATCCCAGGTGCCTAGAGCATGCCTCACCCTTAGTAGGCACCTGGTAACTGAGAACGGAGAGTGAACAAGAGCTTGAGGCCATGATGTGAGTGGGACAGAGACTGATTCTGCCAAAGGCCCCAGTGGAGGGAGTTGTGGTAGAACCAAGCTTGGCAGCAGCCCCAAAAGGAAAGATGCCTTCTCTCTCAGCCCCTGGAGCAAAGAACACAGTCTGAGAAAATCTTTTCCCCACATTTTTAGGAAGGGAGGAGGGAAGGAGGGAGAAGAGGAGAAGGCAAAACCAGCTTTTAAGGGACTTGCATACATTTCTCTCTCTGCTCTCTCTCTGTCCTCTCTCTCTCTCTCCCCTCTCTCTCTTCTCTTTCTCTCTTTTCTCTCTCTCTCCTCTCTCTCTCTTTCTCTGTCTCTATCTCTGTCTCTTTCTCTCTCTCTCACACACACACACACACTGAAGGACCAGGCTGGTGAGGTCTAGGGCAGATAGGGTTGTTGTACAGTTTACGCAGCTTCATGGCTCCTGCTCCTACAACTTCCTGGCCTCCCTCAAAGACCGCCACCAGTGACATCTGGGGTACCCAGGGTAGTCTCTCATGTGCCCCTGAATAGATTGACTTCCCCAAGCCAGTGCTGGAACTGGAGCTGGACACACCATACCCTGAGCTCTCTCGCATCCTTGCAGCCATGTCTGTCCCACCAACACTTGCTAGAAGCCAGGCCCCACCAGGCGTACAGACGATACTACCTACCCAATTGTGTCCCTGAGGCCTCAACACTCCCGCCCTCCTCCCAGGACTCAGTCCATTAGGTGGGAGGCTGGAAGGATGTTGTTGAGCCTGATTCAGACCAGGTTGCTTTCCGTGTCTCCTGCACTGGCAATATGAGTTACACAAATGCACCCAGAGGTACATATCGAGGACCATTTTTCCATTTCAGAATCTCCTCCCATACTTCCGAATCCATAAAGGACCTGTCTTACACAAAGGCATCTCAGGGCTCTACCCACAAGGACAGACAGACAGTCCCTGCCACCATCTTGCTCCACAAGTCGCGGAGCAGCCAGGCTGCCCTGGTGCCCAAGGAGCACAAGATGTTCATGGAGGAAGCCTACAACGCAGGTGATCACCAACCCTGGGACTCAGATTGGGCAGAGGGCCCAGATGGGTCAAGTTCAGGCCAATCCCGTGATGCCCCTCCACCCGGGCATTCCTGGGAGTAAGGACTAGAGGGAGTGCCCCTCTGGGAACTTGGGGATGCCAAGGAGTGAATACATAGTGAGGCTTTCAGCAGAGATCCCTGTGCCCCCTCCTTGGCCTCTTGATGCCTCCTAAAGCACCATCCAAAGCCCCCAAAATGCTCTATCTCACACCCCATGCTCTACTCTACTCTCATATTCTTTCATCTCAGAACCTCAGCTTAGGCCTGGCCCCTGCCCTGGAATGCTTTAAATTGCCACCTCCTCTGAGAAGCTAGCCTGAATCCTTCTCCGTCTTAATCAGGGTTTATTGCTCTTCCCCGTCTGTGCACCCAGGGCCTTTTACATACCTACTCCACTGAACCAAAGTCCACTAATACTGGGTAGGGAGTCCCCTGGGCTAGAGGCTCCTTGAGTCAGAGCTAAGCCCTGACTCCTCCTTGATCCCACAAACACAGCTCCAGCCCCACACAGAATGAACCAGTGAGTGTTGGATGACTGGATGGAGGGAAGAGGGATGACGGGATAAAGGGGATGGATGGATAGATGAATGGATGGATGGATAGATGCATGAATGGAAGGATGGACAGGTGTACAACAGGTAGACTGATGGACAAACATACATATGGATGAATGTGTGGACGGATGGATGGATAGGTGAATGGGTGCATGGATGGAAGAATAGGTGTATGGATAGATGGTTTGATAGATAAATATACATATTGATGAATGTGTGGGTGGATGGAGAGATGGATGGATGGATATGTGAGTGATGGATGAATAAACAGATGAATGAAAGGTGGCTGGGTCCATGACAGGATGGAAATATGAATGAGTGGATAGGGATAACAGACTTGCCTGCCTTCCTGTCCTTGACCTACCTTAAACCCCAGAAGGACTGTTGGGACAGCCAGGAGGCCCAGTACTTCCCAATGCGTCCAGTTCTCATTCTCAGAGCACTGCTTCCCACTCACAACCCTACCCCTTCCCTGCCCACCCAGCCCTGCTGCCACAAGGTGGCCTCCCCGCAGCCTACCCACCGTCACATCCTTCTTGGCCACTTTAGCCATCTGCTTCAAGATGCTCCGGGACCTGAATGGGTCAGACCCCGTCCGCCTGAAGTATGTCATCAGGAAGATCAAGAACATAGCTTGTGGGTCCCCCAACCTGGTGCTGGAAACCATCCATGACTACTTCACAGACAGCCCAGAGGTGGGAGCTGCTTGGCCATCGGGGGCAGGCGCTGGGGGCAAAGGGCAGGGTTGGGCCTCAAGACAGGCTGAAATCCTGTCTCCTACATACAGCAGCTACATGATTTAGAACAAGTCTCAATCTCATACATCAAATGGGCTGAGTGAGGAGGAAGGAAAGTGGGCCAACATTTGTTGATCACTGTTCAGGATTGAATTGTGTCCCCTAAAAATGTATGTCTGTTTGGCTAGGCCATGATTCCCAATATTGTGTGATTGTCCACCATTTTGTGATCTGATGTAAATATCTTACGTGTCGTAAATTCTAATCTCTATGATGTTAATGAGGCAGGATTAGAGGCAGTTATGTTAATGAGGCAGGACTCAATCTACAGCATTGGGTTGTATCTTGAGTCAATCTCTTTTGAGATATAAAAGAGAGAAGGAAGCAGAGAGGAGAGGGACCTCAAACCACCAGGAAAGAAGCTTTGGGAGTAGAACATGTCTTTGGACCCCAGGGTCCCTGTACTGATAAGCCCCTTGACCTGGGGAAGATTAATGACCAGGACTTTCCCCTAGAACCAACAGAGAGAAAGCCTTCCCCTGGAGCTGGAGCTCTGAATTCAGACTTCTAGCCTCCTAGACTGTGAGAGAATAAATTCTGTTTCTAAAAGCCATTCACTTGAGGTATTTCTGTTATAGCAGCAGTAGATAACTAAGACTATCACCCTCGGAACAGTCTCATGAGGTAGCTATTATGATCCTTACAGATGAGGAAACTTAGGCTTAGGGAAGGGAAATAATTTTCCCAAAGTAACAGAGCCATTGAGTAGCAGAGATGGATGGGTGGGTGGGTGGATGGATGGATGAACAGATGATCTGAGATTTAGTGAATGAATGAATATATAAAAGAGCTGACCTTGAAGATGGAATTTTTTAAGACTCCATCGTGGGTCCCCGGTAATAGGGACAAACGCGTATTCACCTGTCTTTGTAGCACCTGGTTCAGGGCATGCACACGGCAGGTGTTCAGTAAATGACTGTTGAGTGATGGCTGAATGCATCCATTTGTGGTCCCCCTCTCAGGGTCACACACACCCCCACCGATGCTCCTGCTGGCATCTCCACGAGCTCAGACCAGCTCGCCCCTGAGCCTCTGTCCACTCTGACACCAACAGATCTCCACCCGGCACAAGTTCCGGCTCTTCCAGGTCCTAGAGACCGTCATCGAAGCCAGTGACTTCCTGGAGGAGACCTGGGAGAAAAGCTTCATGAAGCTGGCCCTGGAGAACATGACCAAGACCACGGTGGGCCTCCCCCTTCCCCAGCAGACCCCAGTCCCCGAGGGCTCCTGGGAATGCAGGCGGCAGCCCCAGGGATCCAGGTGGAGCCAGGTGTGCCCAGCCGCGTGGTTTGCCTAGTGATTTCTGCCAATGTCCTTGTTTCTTGCTACCAGCCCCCTTCAGAGGGACAATCTCAGGCACTCTCCTTGTACAGGTGAGGAAGGTGGTACTCAGAGGGTCACTGCTTGCCTGAGGCCACAGAGCTAGTCAGTGGCCAAGCCAGCGCCTGCTGTCCCTTCCCCGAAGTGTGCTTTCCTCCCCACTGTCATCACCGCATCCCACCCTCCAGCCTCCAGGAGACCTTCTGTGGGTGCAGACCATGCCCCAGGCTATCACTCAGCCCCCAGCTCCCTGCCTGCCAGGTTCCCACCTGATGGAGATTACAGGTTTGGACCTGAACTGCCCCTTCCACCAGGCGCATAGGCCAGACAGCACCCCCAGCTGGCCGAGAGTCTTAGCTGATTGTGGCTCCGGGCTTGGGGGCCGGTGGCTCTTATTTAGACCGACTACCCAGGCGAGCCCCGCGGTGGGCTACTCAGTAACCCTGGTGATTAGTTATGGTGGGAAGAGCTGTGCTGGGACACCGAGTAACTACCATGGACCCAGGCTGGCACTCGGCAAAGCATTCACAGACACATTTAACCCTCCAGACAGAGCTGTAGTCCCCATTTTACAGATGGACAAATCAAGACTGAGAGGACTTAGGGAACTAGCTGGTGGCAACAGCCCCGCTGATGGATGGCAAGGGTGGCGAGCTTCCCCAAAGTGAAGTTCAAAAACCCGAGGTTGAGCCTGCCCTTCACCTACCAGCTCGGTGTGCTGGCCACATCTTGGCCTCCCTTAGCCTCAGTTTTCTACCAAAAAAAATGGGTTGATAGTAGCTGCCCTGCCTGCAAAGTGGGACCACACTGCCCTGTCTGCCGAGCAGGACGGCGAGTGTGAGGGTGCCGCCTAAGAGTGAAGCTCCGCCCCAACGCCGCTCTCGCGCTTTGCCCCCCTGCCCTTCCTGTTTGCCCCCAGGAGCTGGAAGACGTGTTCCAGGACGCAGCCAGCAACGTGCTGGTGGCCATCTGCAAGCACTCATGGCGGGCAGCGGCCCAGCACCTGGAGACCGAGATGCTGACGGGCATCTTCCCACACCGCAGCCTCCTCTACGTGCTGGGCATCCTGTCCTCCAGGGGTACGTCTGCCCCAGGCTGGCGGACAGAGTGGGGCGGTCATGGGGGGAGAGCCGGGGGGGTTCTGAGGCCCTCACCGTGCACAGTGGGGATGCTGACCCACCAACACACCAGGCCGCACACCTGCCCTAAAACAGGAGCACCCCACAGCCCGCCACCCCTCAGCCTCCCAGGCCCCCTGCACAGGGTGGCACCCCGCCTAGCCTAGCCACACACTGGGCTGCCTCCTGCTCCCTATGTCAGTATTTCAGGTACAGGCCTGGGCAGAAGCAAGACCGACCCAGGAAGTCCCAGCAGGTGCCCGGTGGTGTGCGGCTACCCCTTGGCCCTCTCCCTTGACCACACCAGCAGGCAGGCACTCCTCTCCTGCCAGAGGTGGCCTACGGGCCCAGGGTCCCCTGCAGTTGTCACAAGTCCACTGGGCCCAGACCTGGTGGCTCCATAAGAGCCCCTGCCCCGAGCCGTGGGACGGGCCACCCTGACAGTGGAGGCTCTGGTCCCAGGAGAAGGGTGCCTGGGGAGGACGCTGCCAGGGTGAGGGCGCAGTTTAACACCAGACAAGCACTGAGTGAGCACCTCCTGTGTGCTGGCGACCAGGCACTCCGAGCTTAGGAATTTCTCTGCCGTCAGGAGCTCAGAGTCTCACCAGGGGCAAGCACCATTCAATTTGTTTATTCACTCACTCATTCATGTGCTGAGCTCGGGACTGCCCAGCTGGGGAGGTACCGGGCTGCGACGAGGGCGGCTGGGGAGCCCAGAGAGGGGAGAGACCACCTGCCCTGGTGGCCATCAGGGAGGGCTTCCTGGAGGAGGCAGCAAGTCTGAGCCAGGTCTGGAGGGATGAGTAGGAGTTTGAGGAGAGAGGCTCGCCCATCAAAGGGAATGGCGTGTGCACACCGAGGGTTGGGGCACGGGGAGGAGTCAGGTGTGGCAGGCGCTGAGATCCACAGAGAGGCCATGCTTGGGGGTATGGACTAAGGCCAGGCCGAGGCAGGACCAGCCTGCTTGACCTTGGCCCCGCCCCAGAACTGGCAGTCTGGGTGCAGATCCCTCAGTGCCGGGGGTGACCTCTGAGACCCCCAGGGTCCCCCTAAAGCAGCCCTTCCCTTTGAGTGGGATCTCCAAAGCCCCCAAGAAGCTTCCCAGTCCCACAGTGCTCCCCTATCAAGCCTTATTTTCCCAGCACGTCTTGGAGGGGCCCCTTCACTCATCGCTGGTGAGGCTGAGGCCCAGAGAGGGAGTGTGGCCTGCCAGAGGTCACACAGCTTGGCGGCAGCCACAGCTTCTGCCCGAAAGCCCAGCTCAGCTTGTCAGGGCTCGGTGTCCCGCGAAGCCAGGCCGGCAGAGGCAGAGCGCCGTCACCCTGGCCCAGCCCAGTGTCTGAGGCCGGGAAGTGGGGCCCAAGGTCCAGCCCTGGCTGGGCCTCATTCCTGTCCTGTGACCCCCTCCCCCTCACAGAGGAGCTCTTCAACGAGGGAGAGAAGGCGTGCTGGGAAGAGCAGCTGGCCCAGGTAGGGTGGGCGCCGGGCACCGGGAACTTCTGTGGGAAAGACAAGAGAAGGCAGCAAACTGGTCTTGTGGGCGCCTGCTGCAGGCTTGTGTGGCGGGAGCGTGGGAGGGAGGGAGGACCCTCCTCCCACAGACGAGCCACCAGTCTCCCAGAGGTGAGGTGACTTGCCCAGAGACAACGGGTTGGCCACTGCAGGACCTGGGATTTGAACCTTGGTCCCTAGAGGCCGGGCACAGAGCAGACGTCCAGCACTTATGAGGCCCTCCCCACCGAATCCCAGGCATGGCCAGACTGACAGGGCCAGAGAAGGCGGCCACTGCCGAGGCCGGGGAAGGAAGGAAGCAGGCTGGGGAGGGTGCCACAGCCCATCTTGCCCACACACCAAGGGAGGGGCTGGTGTGGCTGGGAGAAGGGGCATGGGACCTTGGCAGGCCTGGGTTCAAGTCCAGATTTGACCATTCATAGCTCCGTGGCCTGGGGTGACCTAATTAACCTCTCTGTGCCTTAGCTTCCTTATCTGTCAAATGGGAATAAAAGCACCTACTCAAAGGGCTGCTGTGAAGATTCTAGGAAATAATCCACATAAAGTGCTTAGCAGGGTGCCTAATTCAGGAAGCTCTCATTAAATGTTATTATTATCATTAACTTGTTATTGTTGTTAGGTGCTGTCGAGTCAGTTCTGACTCATAGCAACCCTGTGTACAACAGAACGAAACACTGCCCGGTCCTGTGCCATCCTCACAATCGTTGTTATGCTTGAGCCCATTGTTGCAGCCACTGTGTCAATCTGTCTCTTTGAGGGTCTTTCTCTTCTTCGCTGACCCTCTGTTTTACCAAGCATGATGTCCTTCTCCAGGGACTGATCCCCCCTGAGAACATGTCCCAAGTACATAAAAAGAAGTCTCACCATCCGAACTTCTAAGGAGCACTCTGGCTGTACTTTTCCCAAGACAGATTTGTTCATTCCTTTGGCAGTCCACGGTACATTCAATATTCTTTGCCAACATCGTAATTCAAAAGCATCAGTTCTTCTTTGGTCTTCCTTATTCATTGTCCAGCTTTCCCATGCATATGAGGTGATTGAAAACACCATGGCTTGGGTCAGTGCACCTTAGTCTTCAATGTGATGTCTTTGCTTTTCAACACTTTAAAGAGGTCTTTTGCAGCAGATTTGCCCATGCAATGCTTCTTTTGATTTCTTGACTGCTGCTTCCATGGGTGTTGATTGTAGATCCAAGTAAAATGAAATCCTTGACAACTTCAACCTTTTGTCCATTTATCATGATGTTGCTTATTCATCCAGTTGTGAGAACTTCTGTTTTCTTTGTGTTGAGGTGTAATCCATACTGAAGGTTGTGGTCTTTGATCTTCAGCAGTAAGTGCTTCCTTCAAGTCCTCTTCACTTTCAGCAAGCAAGGTTGTGTTATCTGCATAATGCAGGCTGTTAATGAGTCTTGCTCCAATCCTGATGCCCTGTTCTTCATATAGTCCAGCTTCTCAGATAGCATACAGATTGAATAGATATGGTGAAAAGGTACAACCCTGACACACACCTTTCCTAACTTTAAACCCACAATATCCCTTTGTTCTGTTTGAAAGACTGCTTCTTGATCCATGTATGGATTCCTCAAGAGCACAATAAAGTGCTGTGGAATTCCCATTCTTTGAAATGTTATCCATAATTTGTTAAGATCTAACAGTTGAATGCCTTTGCATAGTCAATAAAACACAGGTAAACATGTTTCTGGTATTCTCCACTTTCAGCCAAGATCCACCTGACATCAGCAATGATATCCCTGGTTCCACGTGCTCTTCTGAATCTGTCTTGAATTTCTGGCAGTTCCCTGTCGATATACTGCCACATCGCTTTTGAAAGATCTTCAGCAAAATTTTACTTGCGTATTAAAATTTTACTTGATATTAATGATATTGTTCAGTAATTTCAACGTTCTGTTGGATCACCTTTCTTGGGAATAGGCATAAATATAGATCTCTTCCAGTCAGTTTGGCCAGGTAGCCATCTTCCGAATTTCTTGGCATAGATGAGTGAGCACTTCCAGCACTGCATCCATTTGTTGAAACATCTCAGTTGTTATTCTGTCGATTCCTGAAGCCTTGTTTTTCGCCAAAGCCTTCAGTGCAGCTTGGACTTCTTCCTTCAGTACCATTGGTTCCTGATCATATGCTACCTCCTGAAATGGTTAAATGTTGACCAATTCTTTTTGGTATAGTGACTCTTTGTATTCCTTCCATCTTCTTTGGATACTTCCTGCATCATTTAATATTTTCCCCCTGGAATCCTTCAGTATTGCAAATCAAGGCTATCATTAAGTAGTAGTTATTAAATGGAATCTAGTAGAAATAACAGCAGCAACAATACTGGTAATCAATAGAACAATAGACAGAAAATCAGTCACGATATAGAAGATTGAGCCACACAATTAACCAAATTGACCTCACTGGCATTTCCTTCAAATGCAAATAGAATGTTCTCCAAGATAGCCCATATGCTCAGCCACATAACAAGATTCAATACATTTAAAAAGACTAAAACCAGAATTACATTCTTTGACCAAAACATGGATTAGAGATCAGTATCAAAATTACATCTGGAAAAACCCAATGTTTGGAAATTAAACAACACACTTCTAGATATCCCATGGGTCCAGGAAGAAATCACAAGGGAAACTTTAAATATTTGGAATTAAATGAACATGAAATTTCAACTTATCAAAATTCGTGGGATGCAGCGAAAGCAGAACTTAGAGAGAAATGTATAGCATTGACGCAGAAATTAGCAGAGGGGAAAGGTCTGAAGTCAGTAGCCTAAGTTTCCACCTTAGGAAGCTGGAGGAGGGAGAACACATTAAACCTAAAGCAACTAGAGGAAGTGAAGTGATAAAAATGAGAGCAGAAAAGAAGGAATGAATGCTGAGACATGCGACATCGTGGATGAATCTCCAAATAACGATGCTGAGTGAAAAAATACCAGACGCAAAATAGTACATATTGTATGATTCCATTTGTATGAAATTTTAGAAAAGGTGCAAAGCCAACCTACAGGGAAATAAAGCAGTTTTGTAGGGGTGGGGATTAACTAGTAAGGGGCTAGGAGGGCTTTCTGGGGTGATGGAAAATGGTCTATATCTTGGTGGGTTGTGAATTATGTGTCTGGGCTGCTAACCAAAATGTTGGTGGTTCAAAGTCACCAACAGCTCCAAGGAAGAAAAGACCTGGAGATCTGCTTCCGTAAAGATTTCAGCCTAGGAAACCCTATGGGGCAGTTCTTCTCTGTCACATGGGGTCACTATAAGTCAGAATCAACTTGACAGCACACAATGACAGTACATTTGTCGGAGTCCCTGGGGGGTTTAAATGGTTAACACACGAGGCTGCCGACCAAAAGGCTGGCGATTTGCATTCACCCAGATGTGCCTCAGAAGAAAGACCCGGTGATCTGTTTCTGAAAAATCAGCCACTGGAAATCCTATGGAGCACAGGTCTACTCTGACACACATGGGGTCACCAGGAGTTGGAATCAACTCCACAGCAACTGGTTTTTTATACAGTTATCAAAATTCATTTACCTGTACACTAAAGATCATGGTAGGTTAAGTATACCTCAGTTTGTATCCTTTCACCATATTTATTCAGTCTGTATGCTGAGCAAATAATCCGAGAAGCTGAACTATATGAAGAATAACGGGGCATCAAGATTGGTGGAAGACTCATTACAACCTGTAATATGCAGATGACACAGCCTTGCTTGCTGAAAGTGAAGAGGACTTGAAGAACTTACTGATGAAGATCAAAGACCACAGCCTTCAGTATGGATTACACCTCAACATAAAGAAAACAAAATTCCTCACAACTGGACCGATAAACAACATCATGATAAACGAAGAAAAGATTGAAGTTGTCAAGGATTTCATTTTACTTGGATCCACAATCAATGCCCATGGAAGTAGCACTCAAGAAATCAAAGGACATATTGCATTGGGCAAATATGCTACAAAAGACCTCTTTAAAATGTTGAAAAGTAAAGATGTTACTTTGAGGACTAAGGTTCACCTGACCCAAGCCATGATATTTTCCATTGCCTCATACGCATGCAAAAGCTGGACAATGAATAAGGAAGACCAAAGAAGAATTGACACCTTTGAATTATGATGTTGGCAAAGAATATTGAATATACCGTGGACTGCCAGAAGAATCAGCAAGTTGAGTCAGATACCTAAATCCCATAAATAGCATCACATCAGCATGGGTCACCTTCTGCCAACAAATGAGATTACTGCAAATCTATGAAAGAACGTTTTTGAGTTTTTGTATTTGCATTTCGGACATGGGGCTGTGGTCTGTGGTGGTGGTACACAAAGGTGTGGTAGCATGGGCAGGAGCCCCTGGTGCTTCAGGGTCCCATAGGGGTTCTGCAGACACCTGTCCTGTGGTTGAGTGCCCCACCTAGGTCCTACTGCAGCCAGTGTCCCACAGAGGGGCCAGGCAGGGGGCAGATCTAGGTCAGACAAGCCTCTCCAAATCCCGCAGAAAGTGGGACTTCCATTTCAGGGACCAAAAGAGCAATGCCAGCAAGGAGCAAAAGGCCCTGCCTGTTAGGGGCACTCCACGCTTGTCTCACGTCCAGGAGGGCTGCTGGGGACACCTCGTGCTCCCGGCATTGCGCGGTTTAGTGTTTTATAGGATAAACCCCTGGAAATGGAATTGCTTGGGGAAATAGGTGCACGTTGTAAATTGTAATTGATAATGCCAAAAGCCTTCCAAAAAAAGTTGTAGATCCAGTCATCCCCTCTTCAAAGGACATGAGGGTGCTGCCCCCCCACTTCCTTGCCAACATTGAGTGTGTTAGCTTTGGTCAATCTTTGTCAAAATGATACATGAACTTAATGTCCAGTCTTCAAATATTAGTGAGCTTGAGTTTCTAGGTTATGACTTTAACATGTCTGTATCCTTTAACCGTTTAAAAATGGGTTGTGTGTCCTTTTCTTACTGATTTATAAACAGCTCTCTGTTTCTTATGGATATTAACCCTTGGTAATATGTGACAGCAGGAGAAAAAAACAAACTTTGATCTTCCAACTTAATTTATGGTGTTTTTACTGAACAAACTTCTTTAAATGTTTATCTTCTCATTTATCGATCTTTTAAGATTTTAGGGTTTGGGATCATACTTAAGATGGGTATCCCCACCCCGAAAAGAATCTCGGGATAAAAATCTTGGAATTGTTGAATCGTGGAATCTGGAACATTGGAAATAGATCTCATCGTTATAAAATCATGCCATGTTAGGCTCAGAGCTTCCAGGGCTTCATATTTCCAAGGGACATTGTATTCATTCATTTGATCTTCTCATTCATTCATTCATTCCAGAACTATTAATGGGGTTCCCACTACGTGCCAGGCACTGTTCTAGGTGTTGGGGACACAGCCGTGAACGAGGCAAAGCCCTGGCCTCCTGGTGCCCACACTTGGGTGGGGACATCGAGAGGGTCGCCTTAAGCTAGCACTCACCAGGCAGCTATTGTGTCCCAGCCCCCGAGGGATGCCGGGGACACGGGCAGGACTCACCTTGAGCATGTCTGCCGAAGGAATGTTAGGGGATGAGTTCCCTGTGCCCGAGGAGAGAGCTGGTCCTGGAGACTCAGAAGAGGGAAAAGGCCCAGAGGAGGCCAGGGTCGGGCTGGGTTCATGACTGAAGAGGCCAGGATGGGCTGGGGCTGGTCAAGGGAGCCACGGCTCCAGTCCTGCCCCCACCCCCTGACCGGTCCCGGTCTGCTAACAGATAGCCGCCAAGTCGGTCCAGTTCCTGAACACCGATGTGTGGTCCAAGGAGCTGCGGTGCGCGCTCACCAAGCCCGACCAGATGCAGCAGGAGCAGCCCCCAGAGAAGGTGGGCCTCCTGCCTCCACGCAGCCCCCATCTGCCCGTAGGCCCTGGCCCCCTACCACCACCCCACGCAGGCCCAGGACTCTGTCCATAGGCTGCCTGCCACACTCCTTGAGCAAGGCTCAGGGCCCTGGAAGGAAATCGGTGGCCCCGAATGAAGCAGAGAGGCGGGGCCTGGGCAGCCAGCCCTGAAGCGGACAGGTGGTGAGATGGTCCCAGAGCTGGGTGACGGGAGCAAGCTTAGAAGGGAGCCCAGCAGCTGCAGAAGCCCCGGGAGAGTGACGCTGTGCCGCAGTCAGGGCGGCTCAGAGCGGGTGGACGGGGCAGACGTAGGTGGGTCGGGCTCAGGACGGGATGCCCAACCCTCCCGCAGGCCTTCCTCTTCTACTACTATGGGCTGATCCTTCAAGCTGCAGAGAACAGCACCACCGTCAGGGCACACCTGCAGTCCCTCCTGGAAACGTCCCACCAGCGGCCCAAGCAGAGGGAGGTGAGGACCCAGCCCTCACACTATCCCCAAGGGGACCAGGTCCACCACTGCCTGACCCTGACAACTGGCTGAGCCCCGATCCCTGGGTATATTTGAGCCCTTATCCTGATCGCAGACTGAGATTTCTTCCTGGTCACACACTGAGCCCTGACCCCGGTCACAGGCTGAGACCTGACCCCGGTCACAGGCTGAGACCTGACCCTGGTCACACACTGAGCCCTCACCTTGGTCACACACTGAGCCCTCACCTTGGTCACACACTGAGCCCTGACCCTGGTCACACGCTGAGCCCTGACACTGGTCACACACTGAGCCCTGACCTTGGTCACACACTGAGCCCT